GCTAATCATTTATTTAAGCTCAGTTTTTAAAACCTTAGGATGTAACTACAGCCCAGCCCATGCAGCAGTATATGAATGACTAACCTCGTATTGTGGATGGATTATCTCAGTTGTTCTCCTGGCTGAAGTTTGGTCCTTTTACAGCATCCTGCCATGCGATTACATTTGTTCCTGACCACCGAGAACACTCACATTAACTTTTTTCGAGTGGAAAAAAAGTTAGCTTGTTTATATTATGCTAACATAGCTGTGTCGCTAGCGGTCACGTAGCACATCATTATATACCAGCTAGCCAAACTTCAGTAACCTCACTGCTGTTTAGTTTTCTGTCTTCATTTATGCTGGAAGTGATAACGGAGCTGTACGTTTGAATTTGTTTCCAAAACCCCGCAGTCAGCACATGCTATATTGTATTTAGATAGAAGCTAGCGAGCTAACTCCCTGCTAACTTCTAACTCCGTTAAATGTCATTAATTCTGTGTTCATGGATGCCTGGATGTTAAACTCAATTGTTACACCTGGTAGAGCAGAACGCTGATCATTTTATTAAAGATGAAAGACGTTAGACAGTTTTTCAACTCTCAGTAATGCCATCGTGATCATTTGATATATGGACCTGCAGCGGAGTTTAGACCCAGACACGGCTAGTGACGTCAGACTGAACAACCGGATAGCAAGGTTTTACAATCATATAGTCTACATAACTAAGTAGTGCTAAGTAGTGTTGAAATGTTAACTCTTGTGACTAGAACTTTCAATGGTAAAACACTAAATATAGTTTAATGCATAAGGGTGTTGCAGGACCTTAACTTTAAATGTGTCCTACCTGAGCTGGTTGAATTTAATCAGTTTCATGACATAATTCCTCTTTCATCTTGGAACAGAATCTAAAGACAAGAAGTACCGTATTTTTGGGACCATAAGGCGGTGTAAAGCCAATGCTTTAATAGAGTACAAGCTTCGAGTTCACACAACAAAGCAACTGTACAAGTGCATAGCTGACCTAAAAAAGGGGGAAGATAAGAAGTCATTCAACATTTGTTTTTATTAACCTCCTAAGACCCACTGCCCACATATGGAGACATGGTGGTGACGGTAACTCCATCTTCATCATCCGCTTTCCAATATATCCACGAACCCTCTGTGCACATGTACAAACTGTCTCAGCCTCACCTCTGAAACTTTCAAACCTGAGCTCTGTCTGTAATGTACTAATTTCTAATCTTTTCCATCGTTGCCAGTCCAAACATATATAAATAAATAAATGCAAAAAACACTATTCAATGATAATTCTTACGTTTTATAACTTATTAAATACTACCAATCTGAAATATCTTGGAGAAATAAAAAATACATCCTAAACTTGACCTCAGGCCCCATGAGCTTAATGCATTCATTACATTGGCATCTAAATGACAAATATTTCATTTTAAAATTATACCAAAATAGTATGGCATTAAGTAATAAATCTCTAAGAACAAATCTGTGTTCACAATTTTTTTTTTATCTCTCTTGTGTATACTGCATGGGTACTGTGATCCTCTGGTAAATGTAGCTCTAACTCAAGCCAAGCCTTCTCATAGTAGGTTTCCTGTTGAGAGACAAGTAATATGGGAACACACACACAAAAACCTCCAGCAAAGATAATATCTATTTTTGAGGAATTATGAACTATTTTAAAAGAAAAAACATTTATGAATATAAGTAGTAATTAGCTACTTACATTCCACTTCTCTGGGAGGTGGAATTTTTGTGTGTTTTCCTAATACAGGTTTTGCAATATACACGTTTATTTCTCCATGTTCTTTGCAAATAGTGCAAATGTTTTTGGATAGTGCTGAGAATTTATGTGACACTTGCAAAATTTGATGTTTCAGTGAATCCCACAGGCTGAGTTCTTTTGTCTTTGCATGCTGTCTCTTCACCAAATGTGTTGCAAGTCACATTATCCATATTCTCAGCCAGTGGTGTGACTGGTGTGGGGACAGGTGAATCTGTCTGACTTAAGTTGGGAGGCGAGGATTTGTAGATATAAAAATTTTACACCATTGACTGTTTTCCGTGTTACTTTTATCTTGTTTGTCCTGAAGCAGACACAGTTCTTCAGTTTGGGCATGATACTAAGTAGGAGGGAGAAAAAAAAGAAAAGAAAAACAACTTAAAATACAGTCATAATAAAAAGCAGTTGAACAGATTAGCAGAATGTTTAAGTACTAGTTTAAAACAGTACCTACATTACTAACTACAACCAACTGTACACCTGACATTTTAACATGAAATTGTGGATAAATACAGAAATGACTTAAGTAATGTCACTGGCAAAATCTTTAGTCAATTACAATGTCATGTCAAAATGGCTAACGTTTAATTTTTAGCAGTTGCACCCATCAATTCACACATGTTAAAGCAATATGAGTAATAAATGAATGTTAAATTTATCCAGCTAACTTCAGTATTAACTATATGACCAAAAACCACAAAGTGGAATGAATTGGTTGGACTATATGAATAATAGCAAATTAAGCTATTAAAAGGCCAAAAAAATGCTTTAAAAAGGCACATTGGAACATAGCTACTTTAAAGGAAAAATTAAGTCATAATATAAATACCATAATAATTTTCCACACACTTAAGATGTTTAATGTTTAGACACACCCGTAATGCAGTCCTCTAGCTGGATAGCGTTAAGGAGCAGCCACGTGTAGAAAGAAAAGAAAAAAAAGCTTCCGGTTTTGTGGCATCTTTCAATCAATAATCTATTTATTTGGTCCTTGACAAAAACAAACATAAACTGAAACCTGGGCAAGTTGATGAATTAACCTAACCAAGGAAGAAAAATTGGCAGATTAGCTTGGGTAAAAGACCAAACGATGTGAGCTGCTGGTAAAGTTTCTGGGCTGCCATCCCTCAAGATTCTCTCCATTTAAAGCAATGCATTATCAGGGACTGTAAGATCTAGTTACAACACCATACAACACCATAGTTTTCCAGTCTTGGATGGGGAGTACTGCTGTCCAGAGTTAAATCCAGTGTGCCTAAAGAAGACGTAAAGGACTTTATTTTCTGTGTGTAGTTCTGCTTTCATTGAAATTACTTTGGATGAATGTGACTTACATGCATATTCTTGCACCCTCTTTATCCTTGCAGACAAACAAAATCTTTACAGTACTGCTGTTAAAACTCAGAATTATTTTGATCTCAGCTGGTAGCAAGTTATTAAAGGTGGATGGAGTTTATGTACACTATAAACAAAATAAAGGGTTTGTTAAGGTGTAGCGGAAATACACATTTCCTGCTTTGGCAGGAAAATGTGAACATAAACAAAACAACAGGTGTTTGTAGCCAACATGAGTCTAATTAAGGGAAAACTCAGAAAATACTGAAATGTCACGGAGAATGGTAATCCTTCAGTAATGAAAGTAATAGCTCATACAATACTATACCATTAGGGGGAGTATTTCACTGATATATGACTGCACAGGGTGGGCCATTTCTATAGATACACCGTAATAACATGGGAATGGTTGGTGATATTAAAGTCCTGTTTGTGGCACATTAGTATATGTGAGGGGGCAAACTCCTCAAGATGGGTGGTGACCATGGTGGCCATTTAGAAGTCGGCCATCTTGGATACAACTTTTGTTTTTTCAATAGGAAGAGGGCCATGTGACACATCAAACTTATTGGTAATGTCAAAAGAAAAACAATGGTGTGCTTGGTGTCAACATAACTTTATTCTTTCATGAGTTATTTACAAGTTTCTCTTTGTTCGCAGCCATTGACATGTTGAAGAGGTTAACACGTGAGGAGCGGATCGAAATTGTGTTGATATCTGGTGAACGCAGTAACCGGGTCATTGCAGCAGATTTCAATGCAAGACACCCTACGAGACCACCCATCTCCCATGCTACAGTTAGCAAACTGATTGCTAAGTTCCGTGAAACTGGTTCAGTGTTGGATTTGCCAAAATGTGGATGCAAGAAAACTTTCACTAATGAAGAAACATCAGTGGCTGTCCTAGCTTCATTCAGCAAGAGCCCACAGCGTAGCACTCACCGCATGTCACTGGAGAATGGCATTAGTCGAATATCCCTTCAGTGGATATTAGCTACTCACAAACGGCACCCTTACAAACTCCAACTACTGCAGCATCTCAATGAGGACGACCCAGATCGGCGCACAGAATTTGCAGAATGAACAAAACAAAAATTGGAACAGAACCCTCAGTTCACGCAGAAGATTTTGTTCAGTGATGAGGCAAACTTTTATGTGAATGGTGAAGTGTATAGGAATTTCTTTTACTTATGTATTAATCACATTATTTTATTGTATAATGCCTTGGTGCCACTGGATTTTAACATGTCTCACACTCATACAGTAAGACAAATGGTGGGGGTCTAGTAAGGAAGTTGGGGGAAGCAGACAACTCCACAGGAAGAATCTTTTGTCTCTTTGATGACTTTGGGAGGTAGCAAGGGAGTGTGAACCTTAAGGTGTGAAACGGCTGTGTACTGCCTTTCGTTCCTAAAGAAGGTATTTAACTGAGAGCCATGCTAGGCTCAGGTGAGACTAGCATGGTCATGTAGGTCATGTAGGCTCTCCACCAACTTGGTTGTCTGTTCTTTGTGTTTTGATTAAAGAATGTTAGCTACCGCTCACCGCTTGTCTGCAGGCTTTAATTAATGGAAAACTTCCACAATATGAAGTTAACAAACAACACTAACCCACACTGGATGGATCCCTCCAAGACTGTTGGAACAACAAAAGTGATGGTTTGGTGTGGTATATGGGGTACAACGATAGTGGGTCCATTCTTCATCAATGGAAACCTCAAGGCCACTGGATATTTGAAAATGCTACATGATGATTTGTTTCCCTCTTTATGCACTGAAGCTGGCACGTTCCCTGAGTTTTTCCAGCAAGGCCAGTTGAATGGCCCCCAAGGTCTCCCGATCTGACCCCTTAGACTTTTATCTTTGGGGTCATCTGAAGGCAATTGTCTATGGTGTGAAGATGTGCAGATACAAGATGTGCAGCACCTGAAACAATAAGAAAAACCTAGACAAGAAACTTGGAAGCATGGCATGGGAAGCATGGCGTGGACAACAGACGACCTGACAATCACACACTGAAAACAGAGGACTTAAATACACAGGAGGTGATCAGGGGAAGTGGAGACACATGAGGAAACAGCTGACTAGGATAAACATAATGATGCACAGGCAAGAGTAAAACTAACCGCATGAGCACAGAACACAAGACCCCTTTTCAAAATAAAACAGGAAATATGCAGACTTAGACACGACAACCAGAACTTGACAATGTAAGACACAGACATGAAACGCATGAAGAGCAGGGGAGATTTAACATGGTTGGAAACACGAGGGGGAAATAATAAGAACTAGAAACACTTAGGCATGATAATACAAACTTGATAACATAAGCATGAAACACGAAGGGTGAGGGGAAGCTTAAATACAGGGGAAGAAAACACAAGGAGTCTAATAACCAAATGAACTTAGATAACCTAATGAACAAAATAAACTCAAACTTAAAACGCTGGGTCAAAAGAACCAGGATCATGACAGCTTTTAGGGGTCATCACAGCAGTTCATCTGCCTCCTAGCATCCCTAGCATCCTCCTCTGTCACACCAACCCTCTGCATGTCCTCTATTTTAGAACATCCATTAACCTCCAATAAAAGTATTTGAAACTAATGAAATATTTATTATTGTTCATAACTATTTTGAACAATTCAAAAAAGTTGTTTCTGCACATCTGGATGTGTTTTTTTAATTGTCTCGTGGATGAAGCACATGTATGAAGTTTTTGCCACTGCCAAAAGTTTTGATCACAACACTGTTGCCTCACAGATACAACGTTCTGCCATCATACATAACTGATATGCCTATTATGAATGTTTATAATAAGTCATGACTAACGTATTAATGTACTAATTAATGTACTAGTGACAAGGACAGAATTATTAAACAGAAAGAAAAACTTCATTTAGTCAGCAACAGAAAACAAAGTCCATCAATATAAACAGAAGTCACACTGAGGATATAAATAGAAACAGTGGAAGACTCAATGGACAAAGGTCTATATTGTACACACACACAAGTTACAAACCAACCTGGAAATATCTTCTGAAAGTACGACACTCGAAATTTATTGTATACAGACATGACCGAAATATAAATAAAATATTAAAACAACTCAGAAAATCTTAAACCTATTTAATCAAGCAGTAGAACAGATATATGCTGCCAAATGTGACACAATTACATGATGCTAATGAGTTTAGAGCATTACATGTATCTTAGAAAACAAGTTAATCTCTTTTAATCATGGGTGTGTTTTGTTTCTATCCACCACCATTATTGAATCTGCTTTATCAGCTTCCTGGTATGCTATGCAATCGCTACCTATTGCTCCTGCAGCAATGCCTACAGCTACACTCAATCCAACACCAATTAATATTACCCCAACTGCTCTCATTCCAGGGCTTAATGGTATTTCTAAACCCTTCACTATTTTAACTGTAACTTTAAAAACAAATCTGGGAACTAATGTATTATTCTACTAGTGACTCCAAGGACAAAATATTTTTAAAAAATACAAAACTTTATTTATTCAGGAATAGAAAACAAATCCCAGCATAACCCAATAACATAGGGTTATACTGTACATACAAGTTGCAAACCAACCTGGAAATATCTGCTTCAAGTACAACACTCAACATTTATTGTATGCAGACACTGAAGAGTGAAACCAACTTAAACCATAGCTAGCAGGATAATGTATGACAAATGTTTTACTGAGGATTATCACAGCAAATTTTTCAAAAACTAAGAGATAAAATTAACAAGCAATTGTTTTTGATTGTCTAAAAGGAAATATATGAATTAAAAAGGCAAAGACAGAAATACTGGAATAACACAAAAAAAGCTTTAAACCTATATAGACATTGTAAGTAGCCTAAGAAAAGCAAAGTTATGAAGCAGTAGAACAGATAAATGCTGTCCAAAAGTGACGCTATAAAATGGTGATAATGAGTTTAGAGTATTACATGTTTCTTAGAAACATGTTAATCTCTTTTAATCAGGTGTTTGCTTCGTTTTGTTTCAGTGTTTGTGAGAGTACTTACTGCTTCTACAGCTAGTTCACCAAGAGCCTCAGCTGTGTTCATAACTGCCTCCTTTATTGAATCTGCTTCATCAGCTTCACAATATCCTACACAACCCCCACCTATTGCTCCTGCAGTAGCAGCAAGGCCTGCAACCACACCCAATCCAACACCAGTTATTGGAAGTTTTGCTTGTACCACTCCTGCCACTCCAGGGCTTAATGCTGTTTTCAGTATTGGAATAACAGCTGCAATCATTATTGGCACACCAAGCAGTGCTCCCAACAGCATCCCTGTGGTAACACCAGCAGCCATCTTGAGACTATTGTAGACTCTCTTCTTTGCCTCCTCTCTGATTTCTTCCTGTGACATGACTCCTGATGATGATCTAATGCTCTCTTGCTGTTGTTGTATTGCCTTCTCCACTTCTTGTAGCATCTCATTTGTGTAACAGCCTCTGCCATTGTTCCTCACCATCTCTTTTATTGTGTGGAGCAGGTTTTCCCTCTGCAGCTTGTTGTTTCTGTATTCATGCTGTAGGTTTTTGTTGTTCCAGTATTTGTTATCAAAGACATGGCAGCGCCCACCACATCTCTCTAACAACTCACGTAGACGGTTGTTGCTCCTGCAAAACTCTTCAATCTGCATTCCTTCAGGAAGATCGTCACCACGAGTGAAGACAAGCACAGCATATCTGAAAGCTTCTTCAGAAAAAGACTCTATGATTTTGGTAATAACCTCGTACTCATGATCTGTGAATCTCTCCACTTTCAGTAAAATAAGAAAAGCGTGAGGTCCAGGAGAACACTCTACGACACTCCTTGTAATCTCATTTCTCAGCTCCTCTTCAGACGTGCGATCGTCAAAGAAACCAGGAGTGTCAATTATAGAGACAGATGTTCTATTCACCACTCTGGTAGCTTCTCTACACTGACTTGTTCCAGAGTTTGCAGTATGATCTATCTCAAACACCTCTTCCTTCTCTCCAAATATGGTGTTGGCCAAGCTGCTTTTCCCACTTCCAGTTTTTCCCAGCAGGACAATCCTCAGGTGATCTACAAATAAGAGAAAAATTACTTCCTGAATTTTTTTTTCCATATTTGGCATCCTCATCAACCACCTACAACTGTAACGTGTTAAAGATAAAATAAAGGAGGATACATTTATGCATGTTTCTACTTTCTACAATGAAAGTTTAGCAAAGACTTCCTTAAAAAATAAGAAAATATAATTCACCATCCAAAATCAAATCAAAATCAAAAAGGAAGTTGATGTAGTGTCACAAGAATTTAGGTTGACATCAGAATGTCAGATTCCTTTGCTAGCTGACTTGACTTTAGTATGACAGTATTTTTTTTCTCTTCTTATTTGGCTGCATTCCCAGGATTTTTGTTTTTCAAAATTTTAGTTTGTATAGAGGAAATTTATTTCTTTATGTTTCTCTTTTCACTGCAAGGCAGCATGAAAACGCTAGACACTTAGACACTTCCCAAACAAATCCCTGTTCATCAGAAAGCAGACATGTCTGTAGACACCTTTCATCTTGGAATACTTTGCTGGATAAATTGCGAACAGACTTTTTTCTTGTCCCCACGATGCCGCCCCGGGGAACCGCCCGTATCAAAAACCGCTACTGGTCTGGACTGTGTGAGGAAGCTGCTGTAACAGGGGAAAACCCATTCAGGATCAAGGAGAACATGTAAAAGCCATATAAAAGATCACTGCCGGAATTTAAACCAGAAACCTTCTCGCTGTGTCAACTATTAAAGATCCAGGCACCGTCTCCAACCAAGTATTGTAGATTTGGTGGGTGGAAATTAAACTGCTGGTGATTAGAGAAGCGAAAGTAGACATGTACAAGCTGCAAAAACCACAAGGAGGACATATACGTGCTTTATTGCAGCAATGAAACGACACAGAACTGTTTCACAGGAGTTTGCTGCCCTAAACTTCCTGGTTCAGAGTGCTAAATGTCTGTTAGTGAAGAAAACAAGTGCTGAGAAAACACCTTCATCACTTCATTCCTTTCAGCAGGTTTAACTGTAAAAAGTGTTCAAATCGTATTTTACTCCTTCTTGTGTCATCAAGAAGCTGTTGATGATATTGATTTAAAAGAAATTCTTCTACTGAAAAAAACATTTTAATTTTCTTTTCCTAGATTCTGACTCTGGGTTTTAATTAAAGAAACAAGAAATTAAAAGTCTGCGTTAGTTTTCTTTTACACAGCGTTTAAACGCTGATGTTCATGTTGGGCATCAAATTGTACAAAGTGCTTAGAAAACCATCAAAAGAGAAATTGTTAGTTGAAGAGAGGAAATTATTATTATTATTATTATTACCCTTTATATCAAATGGATGTTATAGATTAGTCTTTTAAATGTACTCACCTTGACGAGTGGCCATTTCTCTCTTTTACAGGCAGTTGATGTGTGATTTTCTGTCTCTGCTGATGTTCTGCTGTTCAGCACTTTCCTGTTTATTGCTCTGCGGTGTTTGAACATGTGGGAACGTGGCTGAGAGGTGAGGCAGAAAGCGAACCCGAAACCGAAACAGTTAGTTGTTGCTTGCATATCATTCAAGTTGGGTTACTTTTCTATGAGAGAGGAGTTTATACTTTGTGCGTGTTTTGTTTTGGTGACAAAAAGGAGAGTTAATCTCTAATCTGGTTGTTTAACCTGTGTAAGTGTGGAGCTCTGAGCACTGACTGTATATCACAAACCCTGTTCTTAATATAGACCTTGCTGCTTAGTAGTAATACGATGGCACCTGTCCAATATGGCGGCCAACCAAACCGGTTTGACAACCGGTTTGACCGGTTTCGTGCGTGTGCGCATGCGCGTTCAGGTGTGGTGGGGGTATGGTTGTTAATGTGTGTTAATACCACAGGGGATAAGAGGGGTTATACGAGTTTATGTGTTTTTAACGGGGTTTTAATTTAACTAGTTTTTACACATCTACTGGGGTTTCTTTCCAGGGTTGATGCGATCATTTTATTTAAAAATCGGGATTTCGGAATGTTGAACTAAGAGTGAGACAAAGCCAGCCAGCTAGTTTTTAACACAGTAAATGTCACAAATAGCATTCAGTCCTTTAGAAAATAAATGCTATAAGCAACCAGTATCGCTCTTTTCAAACTAATTGTCTTTTAAATACACTCATTTTGTGATTCTGGTGTCACACCTTGCACCATGCAAGTATTTTATTTATTTAAAAACGGATCAAACGGGCATTTCTTCTGTAAGGGGTTTCATGGTTTTTAACACAACAGATAGTCGCAAATAACATTCAGCCCTTTAGAAAATAAACGCTACAGTGATACTTCTAAAACCAGTCGCCCAGACCCACTCCAACTTTTCAACAGCTGGCTAATTGTTTGAATTTGTTCAGGATTGTAAAAGCCCACCGCGGGTATCACTAGTTGAGAGTACCATGCGAACAAGGGCCCAGCCTATTGTGTAAGGTATCGGCTCCTTTGTAATTCCTTGAGAAGACAAAAGCCCTGTAGGGTCTCATTTAAATTGATTGGAGACATACCTTTTCTTTTTGGAAACACCCACCCTATATAAAAAACACGCTCAGAGCCCGAAACCCTGAGCCATTTACGCCTCAAGAGTCGCTGCAGAGCACACCATTTTCTTTGCGATCATCAACACTAACATCGTTCTTTATAACATGGCCATCGTAAACGGTAAGTAAAACAAAACCTATTATTGGATTTTTAAAAAGTGCTATGTTAACATATTATAGGATATTCAAACTATTTTTTTTCCTAAAACAAAAGCTTAATTTTTAGGACTTCGGGAGAACGGCCCAGGACCCTTTTCTTTAGAAACGGGTGCTTTTACAGCTGGAACTAGTTCTCTAACAGGCACAAGGTGTGTACAGCATTATTGGATTTTAAAACGTATGTATGTTTTAAACTAGCAATTGTTTTAAATTATGTAATAACGTTTTTGTTTGTTCCAGGGTTAACAAACTGAGCAGGAAAACATTCAGACACCGCGACAAGAGAGCCCAACCTTACATCAGGTGTGTATACAACGGGATGTATAGTTGTGTATTATTTTTTAAAAAGAAAAAAAAAATTTAAAAGAGGTTTAAACAATTACAAATGTTCTAAACTGACCGTGTTACACATACAGAGCCACGCCAGAGAACCGGGTGTGTGGAGAAGCAGGACCATCCCGAATAACGCACACTACAAGGTAAGCATAGGCATATATAAATTAGATAAAAAGAGATAGAGAGGGAGACACGCTTATTCAGTTTGAAATGGGTACATGTATAAAATGTTTTAACACATGTCTATCTATCTTCACAGACTGCAGAACAGCACCCCTCCTCATAATGATCAGGACACCGTACGATTCCAGACGTTTTTGGAATGTTTAAGCAGTATCGACCTCCCAGAACAACAAAAACCTGGAGCTTTGTGCAACAGTGGAGAGTCAGAACCGATCTTCATCAGCGAACCTGCAACACCCCCGAGTGAGTGGCTACCTCGCGATTTCTCTGATGTTTTTGAGTACAGTATATCAGATTTTGATCTAGTTCATATACCCACCACCCCAGAATGTGACAGAAATAGCATTGATTCACACATAGATTTCGAAGAAGGCGGCATAACAGACTCTCAAATATCACCGGCGTATGATGCTTACATGAAGCTTCCAGACGCTAAGCCTGCTGAACAGAGTCATATAGCTTCAATAGCTGATAAATTATGTTTGATTGAAGCTAGACTCAATCAATACCACCAAGAAGCACAGGTACAAAGGCAACAGTTTACCAAATTCATAAACAAAGTGTGTAGTACATTAGACAACATCTGCTATGTTCTATTTAAACCCAGATTCCTTTTATAGTTTGCAGTGAAATTTCTTAAACCATTGTTTAATGGGACAGAAGTACAAGTCACTCTTTACTAACACACTGTAGATAAGTTTATTGCTGAACGACACAGCTAGCAGTCCCACACACTCTTTAGATTTTTGAAGTTTTGTGTGTGATGGTTTTGCCTCTCACACCTTACCCCTTTCTCCCAGTATCACAACAGTATGACTCCCAAAGTACGACTCAGTAAACAAACAAGGACTCTAAACTCAGAACAGAAAGATACAGTTGAAAGATTAGTGATATCTTTTATGATGCGTAATAAACTACACCCTCTTCTTCTCTGTATTTATGTTGTTTGTGTGCGTGCGTGTGTGTGTGTGTGTGTGTGTGTGTGTGTGTGTGTGTGTGTGTGTGTGTGTGTGAGAATGCCTTAGAAGTCAAAGTATACATTAGCCATACTTACAAAAACACTTTTAATTTCGTTTAGAACTGAGATTCTAAGTTGTAAGCAGAAATTGTATGCCCAACCAGGAGTATGTTTCCCCACTTTCACAATGCTGAGGCATCAAATCCATGATCCAACAGATGGTTTGTCACACGTGGGCGAGAAGGGCAAGCCAACCCTTACTTACACAACCTCACACACTATAGATTTTTAAAGCTCTTGTGTACAACGGTTTAGCTAAAGATATAACTTCTACTTTTGATAAAGATCACTCCCTCTGCATATTTCTTAAGAAATGAAGTGTCTTTACTGGGATATTTATTGTCAAACTATGCGATTTTCCAAATGTGTGTGGAGTAAAATGTTGTGACCAAGAATCATTCAGGATTAACAACACAAACTGTTTTGATAGCAGAAACAGTCTGTCTTATAGTTCCCATACTTTACCGCTAGTTTTACAAACACATTCTTCTTCATATCGGTTTAATTGGTTTTTTATGAAACTGATTTTTAATAGTACAACCAAGGTCTAACTTTTCCTAGCTCCCCAGTATAAATGCAAGAATTTTGCAGACTTTATTGAAACTGTCACAATTTAACACTCAATGCCATAAACAGAGTTGATCCATGTTTCTATGGACAGTGTTTCATACATCAACAGGTCTGAAAATCACTTTTAAAGTAACGTAGAACATGATCTCTCTCACTCTCAGCGTCTCTAAAAAAACCCAGCAAACTGACAATCACCTCTAAACAAGGGGGTTCGTTTATAGGCTTTTTGTTTGTTTGTTTATTTGTTTTGTTTTTTTATCAGCCGCAACACCATGTAATGCATGGATGTTAGACTCTTTCACATGTTGCTAGCCCAACCACCAGGCTCAGGGTCTCTGAACTCTAACCCTGGCTCTGGCTGCCAAGTGTGCCTCTGACCCTCTTGTGCCTGTTCACCACCAGACTAAGTTTGTACTCTCACCTACTAATATTATTTTATTACAGGGCAATATTCAGCTAGGTTACTACTTTGACTTTCTTACTTTGAGCACATTTCCGAGCCCATACATTATCAAACTTTTACTTG